ATCAAAAAACGACGTCGTTTTGTACCTGCAAAACGCGAAAAAAAATTAAAAAATAAAGGCAAATCCAGTGAGTAGCCTTTGTGTATGTGAGGCCGATTTGAACCCTTCTTCCTTTGTGGAATCTATGGAAGGGTTGACGAGTGATATTATCGCGATGAATGAAAGAGAGAAAGGGGTTGCATCGTTGGGGTTAGCTTCGGTGGAGGTTGCACAGGGGGATCCGTTTCGGCGAGTTACTCAGTCGAAGCCCTTTGAGGAGTGAAGAGAGGAGCTTAATCGTATGAAGGCTTCCATGTCTGGTGTGGATCGGGAGTTTCTGATCCGTGTGATCTTACCCAAGAGGAAACTTCAACCCTAACAGCTTCTGCCCTAAATCTTCTCTGTTATACTCTAACAGCTTCTACCCTAACAACTTAATCGTATGGAGTTGGTGGTGGTATGGCTGATTCGAAGGTTTACACACCTATTGGAGGTCGATCTGGGTCAGGTGGTCGTGGAGGAAGGGGAGGCAGAGGCCAAAATCCTGTGGCCCTGAATCCTGAGTTGAGAGAGAGAGAGAGAGAGAGAGAGAGAGAGGGTTACAGAGAAGATGGGAGGAGAAGGGAGAGAAGGGGATTGGGAGTGCGGTGGATGCAGGAACCGCAACTATGCCTTCAGGTCCTTCTGCAACAGATGTAAGCAGCCCCGCCTTCTCGTCGACACCAAAACCCCCGCCGATTCTAAATGGCTCCCCCGTATCGGCGACTGGATCTGCACTGGTATACTCTCATCCTCCTTTCTTATCACTTTGATTATGTGTATATATATATGTATGTATATATCCTCGTAGTGGTGACTGGAATTGGTTATGGGGATCTAGTGACTAGGGTTGAAAATTTTGAGTCTTTTTGGGTATACAAATTTAAACTGACCGCATTGCCAATTGGGTTTTTCGGGTTTGCAAGTTTGTTTGCTAGTGTTTGTTTGGGGTTATAGGACTACATAATTGATTCACTTCAATGGACAAGTGCAACTAAAGTGCTAGTTCAATTGAGTAGGATACATGGACAAGTGTTGTGAAGAGACAAGTGCAACATCAAAATTATACACTGGTGCCTGTGGTTGTAGAATTTGGGGGCTATGGAAGAAGAGAGGATTGAGGTCATAAAGCAAACCTGTGTTGTGATAGATGTAATGTGGATTTACTGATTCGCCATCTAATTTCACCTATATAATCTGAGTTTTCTTAAGGATTTTGTAGTATTGTTGTTCTTTACTTTGGTTGTGATTTCTTTCTTATCGGTATTCAGATGAATTTAACGTGAATTGTGAATTCATGTCGATTAGGGTTTCTAGGGTTTCAAATTGAATGTTTAGGATTTTGTTTTACTCAAATTTGATTGATGAGAAAATGAGGAAACATATAAATACATAAACCAGGTTTATGTTTTGACAAATATGGAAAACTCATACTTTAATTAAAAAGCCTAATTAGCTTAGTTAACTTCAGACTTTGAGATTGTGTTATTTTGTTGATGTTTCTTCATTTTGTTGGAAATCCCTAGCTGAGCCTCTATAAGTGGGAAGATGTCTGGTAGTGAATAATTAGCATAATTTTGGTTACTGAGCATAATTTTAGCACAATTAGCATAATTTTGGCTACCCATAATTAGCTTTTTTTTTTTGGTTGTCTTTCTATGTTTTAATGAGTTAGTTAGTCTTATATTTTTTGCTCATGTTGATCTTTAGGAATTAAGAAAATGTTTAATAGGCTGAATTTTCCTATCCCCTATGTGAAAAATGGAAATGTCAAATAATCTTTATGTACTTTTAGAGCAAGTAAATATAAATACGAGTACTGGAATCAATGTTTGAGAAATTTTGTGGCAATGAATAAGGTTTTTAATTTTCCACCTAGCTCCATGAAACCTCCTCTCAATCCTGTTACTTCTCTTCCTTTTGCTCAACCTCAGTTATATCGCAGCTTAGTTGTAATAAACAAAGTGCGAAGAAAAGGGGGGATGTATCATGTACGTATGACACTATGCACAAGCTCTGGTCAATGGTTAGAGACAACCCAAAATGGGCCTCACCGACCCAAACTTGAAATTTATATTTAAAAAAAAGAAAAAAGAACAAGGGATGAAATGAACAAATTTATAGTAAAGAAAAGTATGTTCTAAGTAACAATTATTTTGAAAATAAAGAAAATTATAGATAACATTGCTTTCATTTTTTTTCCCTTTAACTTCATAACACATGCCTACGTAAACAAGAGATGAAATGAAATAAGACAGATCACACATGATATGCCCAGAGAATAAAATGAACAAAAAAAAAAAAAAAAAAAAAAATTGGTACACCAAAATGCTTACACATTCACAAATAGCTCTAATCTTCTCCATTACAAGTAAAATAAGATCAAAGTCCTGATGCTGCCAATTAATTGTACAAGAAACTTACAAATTGGTGACTGTTAACAATGAATATTTAAAAGAAACTCAGAAAACATAAATAACAGCAAAAAAGCCCAGCCAGATAATTGTAGCGCACACATTTTTGGATTACATCCATTTCATTTCTCAAAAACAGAAAAGTTAATGCTTTCAATTTTAAATGAATTAGACTTGTCAAAATAATTTATGCCTCAGTGAAACCCAAATATATACAGAAAAAAATTACTCTGTAAACGAAAAATACCCCTACACATAATCTTAAAGCCATACAAATTACCACATAGTATGTGTATCATAAGCATGCACAAAAATTAAATTTGCCATTGAATAGGGTGGTTAGTAGCTTTTCAATCCAAGTAGAAAGGATACCATGAAGCTTGAGCTTTCTGAATAGCTGTGATAAATTTGCATTGGTAGAACATAACCAGAGAAAAACAAAGCAAATTCCGTTGGAAATACTCCAGTCTTGAGGTGAAAGAGAGTTTATTCCTTTAGCATGATGTAGCCCTTTTAAAAATTTATAATCAACTCAACAAAATGTTTACTTCAACTGTCAAGGTTTCAGTATGCATCATTTTTACCTTCAGTCAAAGACCACCAAGGGTTACAAAAACAAAATCAAACACAATGGACTGACGGGAAAGAAAGCAATACTCAGAAGGACCATGGTGAAGCTAATGGAAACCAAAGACAACCTAATGATTGAAATGACTATAATGTTTGTCTCTTATAAATTAGTTGATGTGATTGGATGATAAACCTAATGTAGCAGTAGTCATTGGTTGTTTTGCTACAATGTTTTTAGTATGAAAATTGCTGCTGGACAGCCCATTTGAGTCAGTGAATATGATTTTTTTACCTTAATGAGAGCATCTACCACATCCATGAACCCTCTGCAGCATGCAGTGACAAGAGAATGCACTGCAATATGAGGACGAATCAGGTCAGATCCCATGAGCAACTCCACATGCCTTGCACGACCATGATAACTTGCCTCTAACAATGCCTCCTCACAAGCTGGCTGAGAAGCACCAGCTTTAACTAAGATCTCCAAAATCTCAAGGTGGCCCTCCCTCACTGCTGCTGTTGTCGCGAAGCCCCTGAATAATTTTTGGTTCACATCGGCTCCAATGCTCTATCATTTTGACAAATGCCAACCCTCAGCACATTGCAAAAATAAAGAAAAAACTCAACAAGGAGACATTCGTCATTTTGGCTCAAAATCTTCAAGCTGGTTAAGAAGAAACAAATTAAGCTAGCAGCATAGTAAGCATTTTGGATTCTTAATCAAGTACAGGTAGCCATGGCCACTCCCAAACAAAAATGGGCAACATGACTGATGTGACACATAATGGGACATGGGACTTCAACTAAGCAAGCAGCCAGTAGGTGGTCAATAATATGAAGAAAAAGGGGAGTGTATCATGTACGTGTGACACATAATGGGACATGGGACTTCAACTAAGCAAGCAGCCAGTAGGTGGTCAATAATATGAAGAAAAAGGGGAGTGTATCATGTACGTGTGACACATAATGGGACATGGGACTTCAACTAAGCAAGCAGCCAGTAGGTGGTCAATAATATGAAGAAAAAGGGGAGTGTATCATGTACGTGTGACACATAATGGGACATGGGACTTCAACTAAGCAAGCAGCCAGTAGGTGGTCAATAATATGAAGAAAAAGGGGAGTGTATCATGTACGTGTGACACATAATGGGACATGGGACTTCAACTAAGCAAGCAGCCAGTAGGTGGTCAATAATATGAAGAAAAAGGGGAGTGTATCATGTACGTGTGACACATAATGGGACATGGGACTTCAACTAAGCAAGCAGCCAGTAGGTGGTCAATAATATGAAGAAAAAGGGGAGTGTATCATGTACGTGTGACACATAATGGGACATGGGACTTCAACTAAGCAAGCAGCCAGTAGGTGGTCAATAATATGAAGAAAAAGGGGAGTGTATCATGTACGTGTGACACATAATGGGACATGGGACTTCAACTAAGCAAGCAGCCAGTAGGTGGTCAATAATATGAAGAAAAAGGGGAGTGTATCATGTACGTGTGACACATAATGGGACATGGGACTTCAACTAAGCAAGCAGCCAGTAGGTGGTCAATAATATGAAGAAAAAGGGGAGTGTATCATGTACGTGTGACACATAATGGGACATGGGACTTCAACTAAGCAAGCAGCCAGTAGGTGGTCAATAATATGAAGAAAAAGGGGAGTGTATCATGTACGTGTGACACATAATGGGACATGGGACTTCAACTAAGCAGCCAGTAGAAGGTCATTAATACGAAGAAAAGGGGGGATGTATCATGTACGTATGCCACAATGCACAAGCTCTGGTCAATGGTTAGAGACAACCCAAAATGGGCCTCACCGACCCAAACTTGAAAATTTATATTAAAAGAAAAAAAAGAACACGCCATGAAATGAAAAAAATTATAGTAAAGAAAGTCTTTTCTGTAACAAATGGTTAGAGACAACCCACGATGGGCCTCACCGACCTGAACTTGAAATTTATATTTAAAAAAAAGAAAAAAGAACAAGGGATGAAATGAACAAATTTATAGTAAAGAAAAGTATGTTCTAAGTAACAATTATTTTGAAAATAAAGAAAATTATAGATAACATTGCTTTCATTTTTTTCCCTTTAACTTCATAACACATGCCTACGTAAACAAGAGATGAAATGAAATAAGACAGATCACACATGATATGCCCAGAGAATAAAATGAACATAACAGCAAAAAAAAAAAAAAAAAATTGGTACACCAAAATGCTTACACATTCACAAATAGCTCTAATCTTCCCCATTACAAGTAAAACAAGATCAAAGTCCTGATGCTGCCAATTAATTGTACAAGAAACTTACAAATTGGTGACTGTTAACAATGAATATTTAAAAGAAACTCAGAAAACATAAATAACAGCAAAAAAGCCTAGCCAGATAATTGTAGCGCACACATTTTTGGATTACATCCATTTCATTTCTCAAAAACAGAAAAGTTAATGCTTTCAATTTTAAATGAATTAGACTTGTCAAAATAATTTATGCCTCAGTGAAACCCAAATATATTGCAGTGCATTCTCTTGTCATTAGACTTGTCAAAATAATTTATGCCTCAGTGAAACCCAAATATATACAGAAAAAAATTACTCTGTAAATGAAAAATACCCCTACACATAATCTTAAAGCCATACAAATTACCACATAGTATGTGTATCATAAGCATGCACAAAAATTAAATTTGCCATTGAATAGGGTGGCTAGTAGCTTTTCAATCCAAGTAGAAAGGATACCATGAAGCTTGAGCTTTCTGAATAGCTGTGATAAATTTGCATTGGTAGAACATAACCAGAGAAAAACAAAGCAAATTCCGTTGGAAATACTCTAGTCTTGAGGTGAAAGAGAGTTTATTCCTTTAGCTTCCTCAACCAAATTATCACTACACACCAAGTAAACCAAAAAATTAACTCAACTACCATATTTCAAGCTGAAAGAGCTTCTCCTAATTTTGCGACAGGATTAACTAAATGACCATATAGTTGCAGTGAATTTCATTTTGCATACATCCAGAACCATCACAGTTGGCAATATCATAAAAGGAAACAAAAGAAATGAAATTAAAGTTTTCAAGTAAATAACTCCAACTTTTCAAATATTATGCACAAGCCTTGAGCATTACAGAATGTAAAATGATACCAGATATAGTAACTAACCATTGCCAATAATATCTCCTGAAAAAACCTACTCCCCTCCACCTTTGACATAGAAGCCATATCTCACACAAAGCTGCGACAATGTATCCAATGGATATCCTCTGGATTGAACGAAAAGATGCAGAAGTTCATTATTCCTAATAAAAGAAAGCAGGGTTGCAATAGAGAAACACTTCCCTCAACTATTATTTGTACCACACATTCACACTGGTCAATAGGTTTATTATGTTTATGACCTAGGTGGTTATCACTGTTTTGACAATATTGCCAAAGTTCAGTGAAATTCCTGGCAATTTAGAAATATAACAGTGTTCTATGCCAAAAATTGAACCAGTAAAGTTAATAGCCTATGATTAAGGGATCTTATATTGAATTTGAAGGTGAATTTTGAGTGTTTAACATGCTAAAAGATCCATTTTTGGTGAAACCTATGCATATTAACATGCATTGATTAACTCTAAATAATCCCTCTGTTTTCAAAGAGATTGAAGTGATATCCATGAATCTATGTAGAACTGGGTAGTCATTTGTCGAATGCACATAAAACAACCAAGCAAATAAGTAATTGTCTACCTGCCTACCACGGATGAACATTAACAATCAAATGAATCATGTCTCCACCATTCAATCCGAAGAAATCACAACCTTTAAATGCAAAATACAGTCCCAACAAATCACATATAGGACACTGCATGTCTCATTAGTTTCGAAAATTAGGGAAAACATTAATTCTACAAAATTAAGGAAAACAGAGATAGAAAAATAGAAAAATTAAGTGTGAGAGAGAGAGAGAGAGAGAGAGAGAGAGGACCCATACCTGAATATACAAAACAAAGAAGTCGAATAATAAGAGGTGTTGATGGAACAGAAAACACGACACTAAAGGAGACGGGCGAACCAGCTCGGAGATACGACATCGGTGGCGCCACCGAAGAAGGAGAACGGGTGACGTCGATGTTGGCGGCGGCGCTGGAGAAGAACACGCTGAGAAGGAGGACAAGGGGTTAAGAGCAACTCCAACCACACTCTTTATTTTTTACTAGCTAAAGTACAAAAAAAGTACACTCTTTATTTTACCTAATTAGTTTAACTATTGTGTGTTCCAACCATACTCTTTATTTTAACTAGTCATTCAAACTAACTTAACCAATTTTCAAAATAAAAAATAATATATATATTACTATATTTTTCATAGAATACCACATATGCACCAAATGCTAATGTGATTGCCAATATGACATTTATTTTAACTAATATTTAATTTATTTTATAAAAAGTATAGCATGTGAATATATACCAACATGTGAATTTTGTGGAACCATCTAGAAGGGGAAGGGATGGGAAAAATAAAAGAAAACAATAAAGAATTTAAAAAAAAAAACAACAATACAAAGGAAGTTCTTCAATAATTATAATTTATCAACACAAAAGAAGAGATGTGAATTGTAATTTCTTCAAGGAAAGGCATTCAGTCCCCATTCATTAAATTAGATGCCTTTGATAAGTCTCTTTCAGACGACTGTAAATAGTATATTGACACTCTTTTAAATTCGGATGCATAATTTTGGTCAGGACTTTGATGTTTTACATTATGTAGAGGAAGATGTGCATTGTAGGGATGGCAATGGAGGGCAATGGGGCAGATATTAATTTCCCCTTCCCATTCCCCTATAATTATTTTTCCCTATCCCTCATCCCCCATCCCCCATCGCTCATGGGTATTACCATCCCCATCCCCTATTGGGTTTGAACTTTCCCCAACCCAACTTGACCCTTTTTTATTTTTTTTAATGTTCGCAACCAAAGTTATATATAATCTGTGCATAAGCCCTGTCAAGATCTGTCTAGACCACACCAATGCTTTACTACTCTAATGTTCACTCTCTTGTGCATTTGCCTGTATCTAAAAAAAATGCCCTGTAACAGTCCATTGGCAGAATAATGTTAACATTACAAAGTTTCTAATATTTATCTAAATGTTAACAACATAATTCATATCATTATCAAAACATAGTGATCATTGAAAGAACAAAAAGTCAGCACATTTTTAAACATATCATTTGAATTAAAATTTCTTCTTTGGCCTTTCTCAATAACAGTCGTTCATTTACAATGAGGTTATCACTAGTTTCTATAAGAAAAGAGTAATAGCAATAGTCCCTGTTAATGTGCCGAGAAATATAAAATGAGGAAAAGAAAAAGAAAATAGCTTAATTATTTATCTTTTATCAGAGGAACTAAATTAGAAACAAATACCATTCAACTCTCAACTCTGAGGTCTTCAATAAGCCTCATCACTTCATTTCGCATTGTCATCTCCAAAGAAGCATCAACATGCTCTTCAACAGCTGAAAACCAGTTGTCATCCCAGTCCAATACCCACTAGTACCCTCTCCTTCTCCTCCTCGCCCTCCTCTGTTCTGCTCAAATTCAGCTGTGTTTGGTGTCTGCTTCAAGTCTCAAATGGGAAAAATAGCCTTGCACTACTACCAGTCTCTTGAACCCCTGCAAACTTCCATACCCATTTTCAAACCCATCTAGTGAAAAATTAAGGCTTGGCTTGAATTCTTGCATAGGGAACCCAGATGGGTAGATTGTATTATTTGTCTCGGTGACCGACATAGGCAAGAAAGAACTCAGCCCCCTTGAAGCAATTCCAGTACTCTTGACCCATAATTAAAATAAGCAAAAAATTCTAATCATTCTTAGTGTTTGACGCTAAATACATTCTTTAGTGTTGAGTACTTATAGCCGTAAATTATTCAAAAAGATTCGAAAACACCAATTGAGTACTTACAGCTGTTTATGGGGCATATCAAAATCACTGTTGAATGAGCTAATCTTAGGCTCCTCATTGCACCAAAACTCTAGATCAACACCACCCACCAGTTATAGTTAGGCGTGTTTGTCCCCAACAAATCAAAAGTGTCAATAGTCTACATTCACCCATAATTAAAATAAGCAAAAAAGATATATATATATATATATATATAAACTAATCAATCTTGAGAGAGAGTATACATGTCAAGAGACAATTTTTTTGGGGACTACCCATCCCTGACCCATTCCCCGATGGAGAATTAAATTAGATCACCTACTGACCTGATGGATAGAAAAATTGGGGAAACCCACATATTTTGGGTAGGGTCTCCATGGATAACCATTGGGTATGGTTTTTATTGCCATCCCTAGCGCATTGCATTCAAGTTGTCTATACTCCATCGGCATAAAGCATCCTAAAACAAGAGAACTACAGAGATCTACTTTCAAAATAAAAAGAGATCTAACCAACATTATTGTTGAAATCTTTCTACAAATCATCAATAAAACCATGCATTTCAATACACCCTTCTGATAAAAACAATAAATCTCCTCAGTTGACATGACAAAATTTTAGCAATCATGATAAATTATCACATACCCACATCACAAGAGTACCCAAAAAAGACAAATATTCAATACCCACGAAGCAATTTCACAAAATACTAATAAATCACAAACACCCAATAGTGGATAACATCAGATATTGCATACAAAATGTGAAAACCAAAGAATAACTCAACAAAAGAACAAATCGAGATATTAATGACCCAAAATCAACTATAACAATATGATCAAATCAAAGTCTAATGCGTTCTTACCAAATACATGAATCGACCATAAAGTGGAATTGACTGAAGAGAGTAAGAAAATAGATTTGAATATGGGTTTAGAGCTTCGCCTACTCTTCTTCTTTTTTGGTCTCAAATATGAGATTAAATACGGAATTTTTAATCAGATTGGATGCCTCTAGGGTTGCAGATTGCTTTTCTCGGAGAGAGGGGGTTTATGAGTTAAAAAAAGGGGAAGACAGAGAGATAGAAGGATCCATAGCTTGAGGAAGAGGTCAGATGGAGGGAGTTGCAGACAAAGCTGAAGGAGAAGATCGATTTTGTGCTGAAGGAGCAGATCAATTTCGCGGGAGAGACAGTTTGGAGAGCCTTCAATCACTCTCCAATTGAAGCCAGTGGAGAAGGCAAGATGTAAAATAGGAAGCCCTTTGGCTAGCCCATTGGAGTGACAATCCTTTGGAGTTGCGCTAACCCGTGTTTTGTTTTCATAGAGAGAGAGAGAGACAAATGAGAGAAAAACTAATAAACACAAAAATAAAAAGGGGTGGAAAATTGTAGTCTATTTTTTTTCATTACCGTGTGTTTTGTTTTCATAGAGAGAGAGACAAATGAGAGAAAAACTAATAAACACAAAAATAAAAAGGGGTGGAAAATTGTAGTCTATTTTTTTTATTACCGTTCAATATAGCAAAATTTTCTCTTTAAAATTAGTGATAAAATAATTTTCTCATTAAAAGTCTTAAAATATTAAAATTTATCAATAACAAAAATATATTCCTCAACAAATGGTCTTAAAATATTTAACATCAAGTTTCTAAAAAATATATATATTTAAAATTATTGGCGACGAAAATATATTCCTCATAAATTAGTTTATAATTTGTGACGAATTTTTTCCTCTAATTCAAGGGTCATGCTAATGCCTATTTATTGCAAACAACAAAAAAACAACAGGCTTGAAGCAAAACAGAGGTTGGAATGGCATATTTTCAAGGTTAGCGTATTCCTTTACTTACAATATTGCAAACAACAACCCGTAAACAACTTCAACTTGAAACAAAAAAGAGGCTGGAATGGCAGAGTGAACCTCAATTAAATTATGAAATAGGAGACCAGAAAAGCAGGAGCTAAGCAAACACAACCGAAACAGATGTAGCACAAAAGCTGTGTAACTATGGAAAGCCCTTCAGTCAAACATAAACTGAATATAAATCAAGTGAAAGAGGCAGTAGGCTTGAAGTTAAAGAAACCATGGTTTTGAAAATAAATGAATTGCAATCCACATTGAAATCGTAGGGATCAACCATTAATAACTTTTTGAATCTATTAATCTACATAAGCACCATTCTCATCTCAGCACAACAATCTATTCCAGTCAATAAATGTATTTCTTCTGGGAGCAATTTTAGTTGGAAAAATCAACCACATTCTTTTTCTTTCTCTTATTTTCTTCTCCCTCTCTTTTCTAAATACAAAAAAAAGGGGCATTGTCCAAGGCCCATCTCAGTTGCAGGTCTGTAAATAACCAATATGACACTATAATATTTAAACTTAGTTCATCTAGATTACAATATGGAACAGCTGTGGAGTTATTGGTAGGACGGTATATAAATGCATATATGCACATATATATATAGAGTATACATGTCAAGAGACAATTTTTTTGGGGACTACCCATCCCTGACCCATTCCCCGATGGAGAATTAAATTAGATCACCTACTGACCTGATGGATAGAAAAATTGGGGAAACCCACATATTTTGGGTAGGGTCTCCATACGGCATAAAGCATCCTAAAACAAGAGAACTACAGAGATCTACTTTCAAAATAAAAAGAGATCTAACCAACATTATTGTTGAAATCTTTCTACAAATCATCAATAAAACCATGCATTTCAATACACCCTTCTGATAAAAACAATAAATCTCCTCAGTTGACATGACAAAATTTTAGCAATCATGATAAATTATCACATACCCACATCACAAGAGTACCCAAAAAAGACAAATATTCAATACCCACGAAGCAATTTCACAAAATACTAATAAATCACAAACACCCAATAGTGGATAACATCAGATATTGCATACAAAATGTGAAAACCAAAGAATAACTCAACAAAAGAACAAATCGAGATATTAATGACCCAAAATCAACTATAACAATATGATCAAATCAAAGTCTAATGCGTTCTTACCAAATACATGAATCGACCATAAAGTGGAATTGACTGAAGAGAGTAAGAAAATAGATTTGAATATGGGTTTAGAGCTTCGCCTGCTCTTCTTCTTTTTTGGTCTCAAATATGAGATTAAATACGGAATTTTTAATCAGATTGGATGCCTCTAGGGTTGCAGATTGCTTTTCTCGGAGAGAGGGGGTTTATGAGTTGAAAAAAGGGGAAGACAGAGAGATAGAAGGATCCATACCTTGAGGAAGAGGTCAGATGGAGGGAGTTGCAGACAACGCTGAAGGAGAAGATCGATTTTGTGCTGAAGGAGCAGATCAATTTCGCGGGAGAGACAGTTTGGAGAGCCTTCCATCACTCTCCAATTGAAGCCAATGGAGAAGGCAAGATGTAAAATAGAAAGCCCTTTGGCTAGCCCATTGGAGTGACAATCCTTTGGAGTTGCTCTAACCCGTGTTTTGTTTTCATAGAGAGAGAGACAAATGAGAGAAAAACTAATAAACACAAAAATAAAAGGGGGTGGAAAATTGTAGTCTATTTTTTTTCATTACCGTTCAATATGGCAAAATTTTCTCTTTAAAATTAGTGATAAAATAATTTTCTCATTAAAAGGTCTTAAAATATTAAAATTTATCAATAACAAAAATATATTCCTCACCAAATGGTCTTAAAATATTTAACATCAAGTTTCTAAAAAACATATATATTTAAAATTATTGGTGACGAAAATATATTCCTCATAAATTAGTTTATAATTTGTGACAAATTTTTTCCTCACCAAAAGTGTCAAAATTTTGGCACCATCCAAAAAAATTAGTAGGAAAAGTTTCGGTGACGAAACTTAATTTTTTTCTCACCTAAAAGGAAGAATCTATTGACGAAAATAAATTTCGTCACCTATTATTTTTATTTTTTTATTATACGTGACAAAATTTATAATTCTTCATGGATTATTCTTATTTAGTGATGAAATTTGTTTTATTCACTAATATATTTACCAAATCAACAACAAAGCTAGATTATAAGCTAAAAAAATTGTGAAGATTGAAAACCCATAAAATTTTTGAAACAACTCAATTAAATTGATGCAATACAAGAAAAAAAATAGAGAAAAAATAACTCGAGTTTGATGCAGAGAGTGGAGTCCTGTGTATACAATAAGGGCCAACGGTAGTGTAGGTGTTGAAGGTGGAGTCGTGAGGGCAAAGATCGATGACAGAGAGGTAACGTGCGTGTGTTTTGAGAGAGAGAGAGAGAGAGAGAGAGAGAGAGAGAGAGAGATGATAAACAAAAAATTGGTTAGAAAATTAATACCTTATTTTTTTTCATTGCCACTCAATACATCAAAATTTTCCCACCAAAATTAGTGACAACATTATTTCCTCACCAAATGATCTCAAAAATATTAAAAATTATTGGTGACGAAAATATATTCCTCACAAATAAATTTATAATTAGTGACAAATTTTTTTCTCACCAAAAGTCCAAAATTTTTAGCGCCACCCACAAAAATTAGCGGGAAACTTTTTGGTGACGAAACTTAATTTTTTCTCACCTAAAGGGAAGTATTTATTGACGGAAATAAATTTCGTCACCTATTATTTTTATTTTTTTAATATATGTGACAAAATTTGTACATTCCTCACGAATTATTCTTATTTAGTGACGAAATTTATTTTCATCACTAGTTTTTGTCACCATAGGTTACCTTTGTTGTAGTGTTATTTGGCATTGTTTGATCTTGTCGCCATTTGTCTTTAAAAGCAAATTCAGGGCTTCGAACTGAACAATCTTATCCTTTGAATCTGGACTCAATTGTTTAAAATGCAACACTAAAAACCAACATGAACTTTTCCAATTTATGGAATAATAGTTGACAATTTTTGCTGATTTTCATTTAGAATCAGTGCTTCGAATTCGACAGTCCTACCCCTTAAAGTTTATTTCGATCATAACCAACATATGGTCATGGTCAGTATAATCAATCAGTTTTAAATTGACCATTTTTCCCTAGAATAACAGTCCATACTTTCAAAAATATGAAAGCTCCATTTTAGGGCTACACTGTTTTAGTCTAGAAAGAGAATCTTTCTTAAATACAAACCAATTATTGGTTTTGATGTTTCGAATAGCAATTCTCATCCTTAAGGGATCTCAAGTCTTGCTTCGAAGGACATTACTTTCATTGAGAAACCTAAAACAGGTCTTTAATCCATTCGAAGTAAACGAATACTTGAACATTCTTACATCTATAAGTATGAAATGTACTTCGAAGCTGGCTTTTTAGTTTCGAAGCGGTTTATTATTTGACTTTTGGCGCCAAAATTTGGTTTCGAAGCCAAATACTATATTTCGAAGCTGGCTTCAACATCTGGGATGTGTTTTTCCCTCCAAAAGTATCAATATTGAAAGAAGCTCTTCGTATTTGTACTTTTAGTACTTAACGAATTACGCGACATATCTTCTGGACACAAAGGTTTTTCTTTTAAAACCCTTTTTATTTCATGCTCTGAAATCACTCGCTCGCTCAAAACACAAACCCTTTC